CTTCTTTGGCCTTCTAAGGCGTTTTTCTTTGTGCCTACGCCTAGTCACGCTTTTAAAACTAAGACCCCAATGACATCTTCTTCCTTTTCATTTATTATAGCAATATATGTTTATTACAGTTTATCTAATATAGTTATGTAACTGCTTATGATAACCGATTATAACAATACAATTTCCCCATAACTAATTATTATAATAATTGGTTATGTACAAAGGAATATTTTTTCCATTTCATTACAATTTCAGTTATAACCTATAATGTTATCTATAACTCAATCTTTTCCATCCAACCTATAATGTTGCATCCTACTTGTTTAGCGCTAACCCCAACCTATAATTTTAGACAACCAATTATTTTTCATTCATTCAACCTATAACAATAATCGATCCACAATATTACACATTTTCCCCAAAAACTAAACTTTAATCTTTAAACCCAAAATCGTTAATCGAAAAAACTACAAACTATGGTTTCAAGGACATACCTTTCAAATCTTCGAATTGCGATTTCAATTTCGTTCGCAATGTTTCTCTGCAGTATCAATCTATTGCTCAGATGGGAAACAAATTTCAAAGAAGAAAACCCTTTTTTCTAATTAAAATAATATGTTTTTCTCGAAACTGATTATGTTATTTATAATTAATCGATATTCTTCCCTACGTATAGATATTTTTGGAAAAGTTCGATACTTTTCTAGCCTTCTCATTTTCCTTTATTTTTTTAAAAATAAAAAATATCTATCTTTGAAGAAAAAGTGTCGATATAAAAGGTTTAGAACACAAACTGTTATAATTCAGAATCGAAAAAGTAATCGGTTTAGATAACAATATCGGTTGAAATTTACAATGTTATCATTGTAAACAGTAAGAAAATAAGTTATAAACGGTTAATGTTATCAATATAATTAACATTTTAGGTTGCGCTTAAATGTTACCAGATTTTAAGCTGACGTGGCCTTAATCATTCACACAACAACAAAAGTTAAAAGTTGTATAGGTTATGAATATATAAGAAATTCAATTGCGCTCAATAATATTATGGTTCACTAAGAACGTAGGTTGCAAACTGAAAAGAAAGATGCGATATGAAATGTTATAAAATTTGAAAATATCGATATTTGTTTTGACGTATCGATACTTACCAACAACATAGGTTACCCGGTTACACTATTTCAAATTATTTTAAAATACCTACAATTTAATATATTACATATAATTCAACATTTCTAGTAGCGCTAAACCTAAATTTTGTTAAGTTTTTTTTTCTTTTCAAATTTCTGATTCCACCGCCGGTTTTTAATATGATATTGGTCCACTTTTCCTTAGACGAACATTCCCATAAAAGAACAAAGTAGAAAACAAAAATTAAACGTAAATATTTGTCATAACAGTTGGGCTGGACCAGAGCAGTCGTTGCCAATCAAATTGAACTGTGATGGCTTACCTAATTAAATATCCCAAATAAAATATCTAAAGCTTCACTCAATTATTTTTCAACCGAAAATTTCCTCATATTTTTTGTGTGCATTTTTTAACTAAAGATTTTTTAAGAAAATTTTCATAAAAAATAGATTTTTTTAAGAAAATGAAAAAAGAAATCGTCTGTGAAGAGATATTTTAAATTATAATGAATTCTCATTATTTTTAAATTATAGTAAACTATGATGTTTGGTATAGTAATAAGTAGATATTCATCCTTTTAACATTGATATAAGTTTGTATCAATTTTATTTTCAGGTTTTCGTAGAGTTTAAAAGATCTTTTTCAAAATTTTACTTTAGAAAATTTATGGAGCGAGGTTAGTGGTAAAAAGGAGTATTGCTCTCTCTAAAAACTCTTGGCTCGAGCAGTTATGTTTGTTGAGTGTGTGTATTATCAATAATTATAAAAGATTATGAACATATAATCGGACTATTAAAAAATTAATTTTAGTTGATTTATTGTTTGTACCACTAAACTTTCAATTTCTTCAATTATAGCACTGAACTTTGATTTTGACTTTAATTATGTCACTGGGCCGTTCAATTTTAACAACACAATGAAGTGGATAATTTTTTTTTTTGGCTATTGTGATGACGTGGATAAAACAACGTTATTTTGGCGATGATTATTTATGTCTAAAACAACGTTGTTTTAGGCACTGAACTTTAGGGGTGCATCACTTTTGGGTATTGCACTTTTTCAGTCGTCATTGATAGTCAATTACCTCATGTCATCGGTCATCTTTCGCGACAAGTTCAGTATTATAGTATTCACATTTCACTATTTTTTCCTTCTCATATGATTAATTTTTCATGAAATTCATTCAAAATCGACGAAATTATAAAAAAGGACTAATTTAATGCTCTTATATTATCCAATAGATCATGCCCCCTATTGGTAATGGGGTTTAAGGTATTTGACAATCCCAATAGAATTTGATTATATGAATCAAACCTTATGGGTTCATTACTGGACCTTATATTTGAATAGTGGTTGTCATCTAGGAATGGGCCTTCACCCCCCCCCCCCAAACACAATTGTTAAGAAAGGTGGTCAAAGTTGGACAAACCGATCCAAGCTTAGTTTTTCTTAAGTGGTAATGTTTATTTTGCAAATTGATGAGTGGTTTAGTATTTGTATTTGGTTCTTTGTTGCTCATGTGACAGAGTTAATTAAATAGGATTAATTTATATATATATATATTCACTGGTTTGAATAACAACATTGAAATCAAATAGGGAATTAGAAGTTTCAATAAAACCTGTGCTAGAAGGAGGACTTGAACCTCAGACCTTGCGGTTAACAGCCACACGCTCACTTGATTATCGTCTAATTAGATAGGGATCAACAAAGACACCCTTCACATTTATTTACAATTAATATAAGAATAATTATCTAATATATATATTGTGTAAATTTAGTTTATATAAATTTGTCTATTTTAGGGTTTATCATATTTAAGATTTAGAGTTTAGAATTTATACTTATAATTTAGGATTTTAGGTTTTATGGTTTAGGCAGGGACAAAGCTCTTTGTTGGGTGGGAGGGGATTGTGCTCTAATTTTTATAAGTAGAACAACATTTTAGGTCCTTATTAGTTTAAATATTAGCTGTAAACGAACCGAACATTCAGCGAACAGTTTGTGAACCATTCGGGGGGAAGTTTATTTATGTTCATTCATTTATTAAACGAACGAACATGAATAAGATCTTGTGTTCGTTTAATTAAAGGGGTAAACACGAATAGAGAGCTCGTTCATTCATTTACGTTCGTGAACATTTGATAATATGTTCGTTTATGTTTGTTCATTTATGTTCGTTCGTTTATGTTAGTTTATGTTTGCTTTTGTTCGTTTATGTTTAGCCCAATCTCTCTAGACCCATTTAAAATATTAAGGCCCAATAAATTTTAATATGATACTCATTAATATTTTAAAATTCAATTATTTTTAAATACAAATAAAAAACCCCAAAATAATTAAATACAAATTAACTATGAAGTTGCAACTTATACTAATGAATTTTATGTGATTATTGTTGTTGTGATTTATGTTCATTTATGTTGTTTTGTTCATTTATGTTTGTTTATATTCATTTATTGTGTTCGTTTATGTTTGTTTACGTTCATTTATTGTGTTCGTTTACATCTGTTTGTTTATATTCGTTCATTTATTTTAGTTTATTATTTAAATGAACGAATATAAATGAACACGAACGAGCTACATTTCTTAACAAACGAACACGAACAAAAAATTTTTTGTTCGTTTATGTTTGTATTCGTTCATTTGTTCAGTTATTTTTTAAATAAAATATTAATTTTGCTAAGAAAAAAAACACAAGTAGGATTTGGAAGTCGGTAAAAGAAAGCATACATATGCAAGTTGTGAATCAATATGCTGAAAGCAGATAGATCAAATAGGCATAGATTCTACGGCCATTGTTATATAAAAGAGATAAGAAGATAACATAAAGTAGACGACATATCCAACTCATAGACCTATATAGATCTTGATTTGACAATAGAAAATGTCCACTTTCGTAATTAGTATATAGCAAGAATGAAGTCTATGCCATGTATATGACGACGCTCCCATGTAGTCTACTAGAGACCTTCCTCTTAGAACATGCATTTTATCATATTAATGCACTAACAAACGTTTCAACATCCATCATCATAGCGAAACAAAGTACTAAAAATGGTTAACCATGAATAAATTTCGGTAATAAAAGAGAATGATATTCTTCTTAAAAGAGTCGGGTTCGAGTAACTGCTATGTCTATAGGATGTGAAAATATTGTCAATATATTAAGAAAAATTTAAACATATGCTAACATGTAATCACCTTAAATTACTCGAAAAAATTATTTGATACAAAATTAAGTAACATGCACTTTGCTGGTCCTTTTTTAGGGTTTGAAGCCAACGTCCAAGCATGCATATACTAAATTGACCAATTTGGTTACAGGACTAGAGTAGGACTTCTCATCAAGACGAGGCTCATCATCTCCCCTTTGTTAAGAAAGATTTGCCAAAAAAAAATTCAAGCTGTTCGTCTACCATCTTATCCTCTAAGTAAGACAACAAATTCAAACAATGAAACTTGCACTTACATTGCAGTTTCAACAAAAAAAGTATTAATCATTACCAAGGGCTTACATAAACTATGGAGTTTTTTATTTCATTTTTATATCCCAACCTCTAAGATAGTATTTTTGGATAATTTCTTTGTTTGATTATAAAATTCAGGATTCTTCCAACAAAAACGATGCTATACCTTTATTTTTGCACCCACTGTTAAAGTCGCAGAATGTGTATTGTCCCATCCCATTCATCGTTCATTATCCATTCATAATCATACGTTTTGCCAACGTATATAAAATAATATTAATATGATTGAAGGTCTCTTTCTCCCCCTACTCTTCTACCATAACTTTATTTAGTTTATGAGTTAAAATAGAATCTTAGTTATTAGTACTAGTATTTTAATTAATACAGTTTCAGTTTTTTTGTTCTTTTACATGGAATAGAATGTTTCCATATATTGATTTAACTAATAATTTATTTGCTGTTTCATCTGCCTGTTAAATAAACAATTCTGGGTATTTGTTTTCCTATTGGTTTGCAGAGTATCTGTCAGCTTAGCCATGAACCACTAAGTTCCCGATTGGAATTTTGAGCCAGGGCTCTCAATCTCCAACCACAGAAAACCCATGGGGTCTGCACCATATGCTCTTAGCTCTGCTTTTCAATATTTTGCTCTCTCTTGAAATTATTTATCCTTTTTTATGTTTTGTTTATCAAATTTTGCAGCCAAGACAATGAACTGGTGGAGCTATTATGGGAAAACGGTCAGGTAGTTTTGAACAGCCAAAATCACAGAAAACAAGTACAAAAGGATGATCAACCAACATTAAGAGCTGGTAGTTTATCATATGGAGATTCAAGTAATCTAGTTCATGACGATGGAACAGTGTCATGGATCCAATACCCTATTGAAGATTCCTTTGAGAAAGAGTTTTTTTCCAACTTTTTCTCTCAACTCCCTTCATCTGATCCAATGGAAGCTGATAATGATAATAATAAGCCCAGCAGGCAACCGGACCACCATAAAACTGCTGCAAATTCAAACCAACTCACTGTTAATTATTCGATGCAGATGCCGCCTCCCAATTTTCAATTCGATTCGGCACAAGAGAAGAAAAATTCACAAGATTTAAGCACGAGTAACGGTGGCAATTCAATAGGAAGAGAAGTTAAGGAGCGTTCGGGAATGGCGGTTGGATCAAGCTATTGTGGCAGCAACCAAGTTCGTAACGATATCTATCTTAGCCGAGGATCAAGCAACGGTTTCGGAACTACGGTGACCGGTTTATCGATGGAGACATCGAAAGAAGATGCTGGAAAAGCGGTTGTTCAAAGCAAGAAAGGAAAAACCGAGACTATTGAACCCACCGTTACTTGTTCTTCGGGTGGGCCTGGATTCATGAGTAGCCATAAAAGGAAGAGCAGAGATGGCGAGGACTATGAGTGCCAAAGTGAGGTGAAACTCACTTTCACTGTCCTTAAACATTTTTCCGTTTAAACGTGAGCTGTGTAATTGCAGGTATGAACATAAAAATGTTTTTCTACTTCTTCAGGATGCTGAACTTCAGTCTGCTGCTGCAAATAAGCCACCCCAACGAGCCGGTCTTTCTGGCCGGAGTCGAGCAGTCGAGGTTCATAATTTATCCGAGAGGGTGGGAACATTAAGTATACTCTAATTCAAATCCCACAAGTTTTACTCATACATATGCATGCACGTGTGTATGTATGTCGGTTTGCTCATAGAGTTTATTGTTGCAGAGACGGAGGGATAGGATCAACGAGAAGATGAGAGCACTGAAAGAGCTAATACCTCATTGTAACAAGGTCATTTACAGCTTTTAGGCTATGGTTTATAATCATACATTAAAGAACATGTCATTTCGACCTAACTGAATTACTATTTGTGCTGCAGACAGACAAGGCATCTATGTTAGATGAGGCAATTGAATATCTGAAGTCGCTTCAGTTACAGCTTCAGGTAACATCCATTATGTCTATAACCACAATAAACACGTTAGAAGACAGGAGACGGTTCTACGACCACGACAGCAATTTAAATCCGTGAGTTGCTGTATCGTATTGTGACTGACAGTCAGATGTGGGGTGTTTTTCAGTTAATGTGGATGGGAAATGGGATGGCCCCAATGATGTTTCCAGGAATACAACATTACATGTCCCGCATGGGAATGGGAATGCCTTCTATGCACAATCCTCTGCAGGCTGCAACGGGGCAAACTCAACAGTACCAACAACAGGTGCAAAATCCGACGTTTTCCGACCATTATCCACACTTTCTGGGCTTCCAACGTATGCAGAATACCTCCCAGGTATATGTCTGTGGTGACTTCATTCATTAAGTTCTCAGTACGTATGTTGTAAGCATCCTATCATATATGTTGCAGCATATGAATATGTTTGGATATGGTTCCCAAGCGCAAAGTCCAATGGTATTAGCTCCTAACACTAATGTTATACCAACTACAACCAATAACACTCCTCCAGGTGGGTAGGTTTCTATTTCATATTTCATGCTCGTTTGGTATCTTATTCTTTTGGGGTGCATGTGGCATTTATGACATTGAACAAACCTCTTGGGCCCAAAATAATGGGGCAGCATTGACCAAACATTTCTACTTTCACGTCTATGTGCATGCACCGGTCAGATATGATTATTTATTATCCCAAAACAAAATGAACTCTCTTTTCTGTCATCCAATAATCTCATTTTCAACCAATTCAGAATTTAATAAATAACCTTTATGTCCCTATCTTTATTTCCCCACAACAGTAAATCATAATTCTAATTTCTATGCATTTGATGTTGATAGGGTAAGTGAAGGGAAAGCAAAGGGGGTCCATAACAACTTGCTAGAAGCCGATACTGTCCAACATGGGGTACCTTTCGTTTTCAAACATTAGATATGGGTTCAGTGTCCGATCATCAATGAAGAAGTTTAATGTCATATCCCATATGCATATTATCAAATGAGACGGCCACTACCAGACTTAAATAATGACTCAACACAAGCAGGCATTGGATTGTTCCATTCAATTTGCTTCTCAGATTTGATTTCAGGATCAACACATTACCTCTCTACTGTGCTGCTACTTGGTGGAATTTTGGCAAATGGATTGAGGAGTGTCGAGGCGATCGTCTCCTTAAAAATTTTAAATTCTTATATATTTTATATATTTTATTTATATTTTCTATCGATTATATGTTTTTGCTCCTTAAAATTTTACCATTTTTATAAATTTATCATAACATAAAATTCTGTTCTTGCATGGATACATATACGAAAGAGGAAGTTTGGTTGTATCAAACATAAAACCAAGGATGATTATAGATTATTATATATTTTTCAATTATTTTTTAAACATTAAAATTCGCTTAATTTATATGAAATGGTAACCTGTTTTAGTTTCATTTTGAGTGTTTAGATTCTCTTCAAAATTTATTTTAGTTTAATATTTAATTCATATTACAATTATTTGATTGATTATTGGAGATTATATTTATAATTGCAATATAGTAACCTGCTCGTAAAAGCAAGGGCAATGATTGAAGGAAGGCTTTTCCCACAGCAATCGCAACTTGGTGGAATGGCAATGCGTGGATAACATTAGGCAATCTTGGCAACGGTTGACCTACGTGTCAACATCATCCTTCAATGAACCTCCCCACTTCCATGACAAGGAAAGCTGTTCCCATAGAGCATCAATATGAATGGCTCCGATTAATTACATAGATTATCTCTATGACACTTCTGTAATTAATTGGGGACAAACAATGCATTAAAAAGCATATCATCATTGGGCTCAAACATGTCATTATATTCCACTTCTTAGAGAGAGAAAAACTTAAATCAAAATATTTAATAGCGAAATGATATATTTATATAAATCTTCTACTACGAACACACATAATGAAGTCATAGATAATCAAATGTAATCCAATATAAAAAATAATTTGAAAATTGTAGTGGTTAAAAGGATTGCAGTACTGAAAGAAAAGTGTGATGACTCACCTGAGCAAGGTTGTGACGCCGGTGAACCAAACGCTGGCATAACTGCATCAATGACTGCTCAAGTGGACGTCAGAGCCATAGATTCAAATAGCGGTTGAGGTCGAATTTTCGGTCGCGTCGCGATTGCGGGCATAACGAGGGCTATTGCGGGGATTGCAGGTATCAAAGTCATATAATAATGATCATGGATGATACTGATGTCACTGTATTGCGGGTGTTATCACAGTCGTAGACCGCTATTTAAATCCCTGATCGGAGTCTTCTTTCGTGGTTAAATCATGTTAGTGATTCCGGTGATAATAATGACAACACTATCTGAAAATTTCTCCGCCACCGACGACTCGACTTTGTTATCACAACAATGGAACGGAGTAGGGAGGTGGGAACCATCCCGCCGCGTCAGCCCCTCGGTCCATATATGCTTGCACGTGAATGTTGTTTAGTGAACATGGGTTGAACGGGGCAAACAAACCTAATAATAATGGGCTCCTTGTACTACCTGTGGGCTTCAAAACAATGAACCACGAGACCGTGCAACATTCTTCCTCTTCCCACGTGCATGGTTTTGTTAGAATGATTGTTGGGCCTGAGATCTATTAACTCGTGAGTGGACAAAGACACTCATATTATTTTATTTTTTACAAGTTTAAATTCTTACATTTATCTTAAAAATATAATATTTATCTATTTAATTTAAAAATTTAAGCTTTAATCAACTCTAAATTCGTATATCTAAGGATAATAACCATCTTTGTTACCACTAAGATAGTTTGATCAGTGAACGACTATTTTTTAAATGATTGCTTACTTAAATGCCCTTGTTTAATGACAGAAGTAATCTTTTTAATGATTGCTTTCTTAAATGCCCTTGTCTAGTGGACTGCTATTTTTTTTCCTGCATAATTCACCTGATATGTTTACCACTTGAAAAACTATTTCTGCATTTATCAATAATTTAATCTTGCTGAAGAGAGAAGAACAGACATGTCTGGTGTGAAGTGAATGTTGATCTTGTTAGTTGAAGTCCTTTCGTTTTCTCTGGATTTGATGCTTAAAATAATATTAAAAATTTCTTCAGCATTGACACCTGACAAGATGTAGTCATGCAAGTAAGAGTAAGCTTCATGCGATTTAATTATCCATCTGCTTTATTCGACTACATATAAGCTGATCATTGTCTACAAATACATATATGATATTGGGTGCTCTTCTTCTTCAGCTATGTAGATGTATTCTCCGATGATAATTGGCAAACTCCTCTTAACATCCCATGACGTCATTAGCCAGCTACGCCGCGGGTGCTACATCAACTCCGTCGTCGTCGTCGTCGTCCCCGTCGTTTTCACTGTAAATAAATAGACGAGTCGCAAGTAGGCGGTCGGTGATGAGCTTCTTGGAGAGGCCTGCTGCAGATTGCTCGGTATTGACTAGCACCATTGTAGTTGTTCAGTGACCGTCCTCTAGAACTAGAAGAAACTACTTTCAAGGGAAAATATTAGGAGAGACTGTTGTGTGCTGAAAAGAAAGCACATGCTCCACTATTTATAACCGGAAAAAGTAGCACTAGCATTGTTCTAAATCGTAGTTTTCGTCCCTAAAATTTTATAAGTTCGTCTCTTTTAAAATTTTATAAGTTCGTCTCCCTAACATAAAATCATCCTACTTCCATTCCAGATTACAAGCACAATTACAGGTGTTATGAACGCGAATCTGATAGCACAACACTATAATTATAATTTGTATTACAATGAGCATTGGGGCCGCACGTTAGAAGTATGTGTGGGTTGCACATGAGAAATGAGGAAAAAGCAGGAAAGGGGGAGTGATATTGTAGCAACTTGTGGTTGATTTGCATAGCCTGTACCTACATGGCAACCATCGGCCCCACGCATGAGCCATACTCATGTAGGGTTGTTTCCTACTTGTGGAAACATGACGCCTACACGCTTTTGAGCTACATTGCCACATGCAACTTATATCTACTTGGAAACCATACCTTATCTTTTATCTCGCTGACTCTAGGGTACCAGATAGAGGCAGCAGATTTTCACTTACCCCATTATATTTCAAGGTAAGTGATTCATAAAATTAAATAATGCACACATCAAATGATCTCAATAATTAAAAGAACAATCATAATTATCCTAGATTAATAAAAAGATAAAAAAAATGAAAAATAAAACCAAACAATGTATGTGAATCAACGTGAGGAAATTCTATATATATATATATATATAGCCTGCAAGCAGGCCCGGATTCATCTTCTAGTCAATATATATGAAAAACGGTTTTAGAAATGGTTTGTAGGAAAAACTCACAATGAGGAAAAATTGTTTCTAGATATTGTGCATATCATTGTTGTTAATAGTACAGGTTGGATACTTACTGACTCAAATTTTAATGGGTAATTATGTTCGATTTTATAGTAGTCAGTGATTAAAGATTACTTGGTAAGTAAATTTATTTAATAAGTAAATATTTATTTTAGTCAAGAAGTCTTATCGAATTAGATTTTTCGATGACCAAATTTTCGATTATATAAATATGAAACATGTAGAAGAAATGTAATTCTTTTTAAGATTTTTGTAATTTAAGATTTCAATTGTAGATATTTTAGTCAAGAAGTCTTACAGAATTAGATTTTGGATTGATACCATGGGCTAAGAATCTTTCAAAAGCAATAGTTGTTGTTGAGTCACTGATCGAACTTGGTGAAAATAAGACGACCATGTATATATTTCACTGAATTCAAATCTTTTTGAACCATTCAGTATAGCTTACTTGAACTTGTATTTCATTTTAACCACCGAGTTAAAACAGTAAACAAAAGCTACAGACAGATCCTTTAATAGTAATACTTCTCTGCAAGCATGCTCCAAATTTTCATCCTAAACAGTAATCAAACTATTTAAATGCTAAAAAAAAGAGAGATAGCAAATTTATTATTGGAAAGTTCCGGCGCTGTTAACAATCTTTTTCGATATGAATGTCGGCATTCAACAAGGTCAAGTATTTACATGAAACCAATTATCAGGCATGAAAGGTTGGAGATCCAAAGCAGTCAATCTCAGGTACTTCCATTGCAACGATGGATGCCATTACCATGAGTGTCTTTCTGCTTAGCGCTTAGATTATTCAAGCCCCATATCCGGATCGTACGATCGTCGCTGGCTGATGCCAACATGTGAGGGTTTGCTGGATTCCAGCTGACACAATTAACAGCTCCAGAATGACCTGGTAATGCTTCTATAAGCTCTCCGGTGCCCCTATGCCAAATATAGACCTAAACATACACCAAAAGAAAATCAAATTTCCCTCCATATTCAGAAATACAGAGATTTAGCAAATTTATTATCAGACTACCTTTCCACGTGAATCATAGGCTAACTTACTGCTTCAGAATGGCATAGTACAAATTTAATGTCCTTACCAGTGAGTCCTCGCTACCGCTGGCAATATAAGCTTCCTCAAGTCCACCAAAACAAGACCGAATGATGAAACGGGTGCGTTTATGACCTCTATATTTAGAAACGAGCTTCGGATCACCTTCTATACTCCATAGATGAATTTCTTGGTTCAAAAGATTAACAAGTAAGAATCTATTGTCTCTTGATAATGAGAATGAAGTTATTGTTTCATCCTCCTCAATAAATCTCTCAACTTTTGCTTCCCTGTCAAGTAATAATATTTCTGTTTCCCTACATATACTTATAATCTGCTTTCCATCACTTGTTATTTCCAAATCGGAAATTTTTAGAGTGCGTTGCCCTTTCCAGCATTCTAGCTCTTTCCCATCCAATTCCCACATGCTGATACTCTTATCATTAACTCCAGAAAATATCCATTTGCCATCAGGAGACCATCCACATGAAACCATGCCAAGACCAGCTTTTTTGTAAACATGGAGGCACTCACCAGAAGAGACGTCCCACCGCCTTACAACCTCCTCTACACCACAAGTGAGAAGCTGGTGGTCATTAGGACTCCATGAAACAGAAGAGATAGGCTTCTGGTGACCAGAGAGTTTATGTTTTAAAGATACTCCATTAGCATCAACCTATAAGTAAAAATATTAGAATGCGAAAATCGACTGTTTGCTGGGTTTCTAGTGAAACATAGTTGATTCACAGTGGTCTAAGAATGCTTACTCCTTAGTACAACCAATAAATGCTTGAAAATTTAGATTCCAGATCATTTGATTTTCTAAATTTCACCAGCATCCTAGGGTTTTGTTTGCTAAGGCTCGATGTGATTGCTAGTTTTGTTATTTGTTATTCTTTTCACCTTCATAAACTTGATAACAAGACAAACAATAACGAGAAAAATGCAAAATCACATTTTGATTAAAATGAACAAATGGCTAAATTAATCCACACAGTCGGACATAATTTGTCCATGAAACTGATGCAGTTTGTAGTGAACTGTAAAAGTTTTAATATTTCCAGAACACTAATCTACTACCATTTTCATTTCTTGGGAAACAAAACTCAAGTAGCAGAAATAACAATTAAGAATAATCTATGTTTAATCAACGCCCACCACTTCTCTTTTTATCATTTCTTTCCTAAGAATAAATACAAGTGAATCACAAGGTATCAAAGGAAGATGCTAAAGATTAAGCATTGGCCATAAGCATCTAAAAAGATACCATAAATTGCTAGATTTTATGAAAGTCCATAAGAAGGAATTTGAAAAATAAAAACTGTAAGCTATAGGATAAGTTTATCATCCTAAGCAAAACCAGCATTATGTGTTATATACATGCTCTGAGTGAATAGCAATACCTCCCAAATGATTGTTGAGCAATCATTTGATGATGAAGCCAAGTACTTCCCATTATGTGAAAATTGCAAGGACCATATTTCATCAGTGTGAGCCTGTAGTATCTGTTGCATGAAAAATGTAAAGAACTTAAAAAAATTTTGCAAAAATAATTTAAGAAAAGAAAAATGGTAGTCATAAGTTGATAAATTTCAGAGGAGGAATAGGCAAATAGAAGATAGATCAAGAATCAGAATGTATTCCACCCAGAAGACACTAAAACATATCACATGGAAGCACATGTAAACAAATTATCCAATATTTTTCATGGAGAAGGCAAGTTCACTAAAATGGTATAAACATGACACGTGAGTAAACAAATTTGGGTGTTGTATAATTGACTTAGTGCTATAATCATGTCAATCTGTTTATACCAGGAAAATATTTGTATTGTGCAAGCCGATCCACCTGACTGGTTATCAACTGTATCGATAGTATTCCTAGTTACTCAAAAGACCTAAAATGTTTAATTCCTTTATTAACTTATTAATATTTAAAATTCATAACTAAAATTATTATCCATGTTTGAATATGCTAATCATGTCTAAACAAATTGATCATATTTAAATGTAATACAAGTGTCAAATTACATAAACAGTGTAATGAACACATCGTATTCATGTCAAAAGCCTTAACCTGATTAACTGATCTTGAAATGTCAACATCAGCTAATTTTCCCAGAGAACTAGATAAATACAAATTACTTATTATACTATTATCTTGACACTTCGACTAAAACTAGATAAATACAAATTGCCAGTGCCAATTTTCCCAGAGAACTATGAACCTAAGAAGCAAATATTAATTTGCCAAAATTCCTTATCAAAATAATAATAATAATAATAATATTTTGCAAATCATACTTCTAAAGTTATCAGGAAAATCCAACAAATGTGGCATTAACTTTCATTTTAGTTCCATTTGACATGTTCAACAACAATTTGTGTCAAAACCTCAAAAACCTAACTTAGGTAATAAACTATTGTTAAATCATTTCTCCATGCAGACACATATGCACTAATAATAGTTAGAAAGTTGCACATTGCTGGTCCCTTATGCTTGAAGTCTAACCACTAAAAGGTATTCAACAAGAAAATAAGTGAAGAACTAAAAAGATAAGCCTAAAATACTGAAGCTTTGATTCATTTACAATTTGGGAAGACAATGCAGAAACAAAAGATAAGAACTTACCTATCAGTGTAAACCTAAACCCAACATACCTTATCTTCTAGCTGCTTAAGCAATGGGAAAGTAAAGATAGATGTATTATCTTCTAGCTTTTCCAAACAACTCTCAAGCACCATGATTAGGAACCATCCACACAAGATTCTTCCACCAATGAATGAGATATCAAAGAGCTCACTATCTAGTCAATTACTGACATCATATCTTTTCTTATAGTCCATAAACTCAACTATTTCATCTATGTTAGATCATTCCTGGCATGTCATATGTATTAAAGGTGAAAGCATCGTAAAACACATAAACCGTCATCTCCAATGACTCAAAATTGATTTTTCCATTACAATTTTCAGGTCTTAGAAACCCTGCAGCAGATTATTTAGTGCAGGGTAATAAGTATATGGTTAATGAAAGCCTCAAGGATTGCACCTAATAAAGAAATTGTCTATCTAATAAGAAGTATTCAAACATTAATGCCAGTGAGAGTACAAGCACTAGAACTTAAAACCTACTTTATAACCAAACCTATTATATCAATTCTATCAATAGCACGTGAACCAAATTGCCTGCTTATATATTGTAACAAGGATAATTATTTGGTACACTAGAAGTGTAAATTTTTAACTCTGCAAGAAGGATTAAAACAGTGTCCTTAAATTATATTTAATAAATAAAAAGTGAAAAGAGAACACTTGACAATGTTTTAACCCCGCTGGAGGAGTTAAAAATTTACACTGCCATACCAAATATTAATCCATTGTAATAAATATCCATAATGATAAAGCACAATCTAAAACAGATATCTAATTTCCACAATACCAAGACACAAAATATTACACCAATAAGAAACGTACAAGAGCACCTAATAAGTTTTTCATCTTAAAGAAACGCATGAAAGATAAGAGACAGATTGCAAAACTACAAAAACTTGATTACCAGAATAGAATCTAACCTGCAATGCATAAGAAGGAATTTGATCTCTAGCACACTGATGGTCAGCATACAGAGACATTTCCTTATACAAAGAGTTGTGGAACATGCAAGCATCTCTTTGCAAGACAAGGGCCTGTTCAACTAAATGCTCTAACCTTCGTTCAGGAACTATATCTGTTGGAGGAAGCAGCTTCTGTAATTTTTCCAATAACTTAGTCCGGGATCTTGCTCTCGAAGTATCTTGTTTTGGAGACCGAATAGAAAAACAGCGAGAGGGTGACACAATGAACAAAGAAAGCTCACGAACTCTACTATCATTGATACAAAGAGGTGATATCTCAGTTCTCAGCGTCTTCAGAGCATCCATGACTTTTTCTTCATCCAAAAATTCAAAAAACTTCTGTTCCAATATCAGAAAACATGCTGATTTTAAGGTCATTTCATCTGTCAGACCAATATTGTTCAATGTGACAACACTTCCATCCCAATCTCCTTCGAGAATTTGCTTCATAAATACATTAACAAGAGAAGAATGCAACGCTATCCCTGATTCTTCCTCTAGATGAGCACCACTCTTTATATAACCAAGTGAGTACAATGCTTTCGCTATTATTCGTACAAATTCTACTTTCTTTATAATTCCTTTTGAGCCAACGACTTCTTCGCCCCCTTCAGACTGCAGGGGCTGAGCCATCAAGTTTCTTGAAGACCCAACTATAGGCTCTTTAAGAGTTGAACCGTTTGAAAGATGTCTCAATTCTTCAGAGGATAGTTTCATGCGTTTTGAGGCTGGTTCATTGTCCCCTACACCTCCCATGAAATGTGCACCTCAGCCCATATATGATTGAAGTGAAAGGAGAATAACAAAAGGTATAAAAAGGAAAGTCTCTGATGAATCACAAGAAATAAACCCCTGCATAAAATTGTCAAAAAGAAGTTGTAGGTTTCTAAATTTTAGCATAACAGAGTGATAAACTCACAGAGAAAACTCGTCATTATCACTGTCGAAAAAATAACATGATTAAGTCATAAAGAAGACATGCAATTATAAGAAGGCTACATGTTATTTCCTAAAAGTAATCAGTTCGATTATCCTTCAAAAATATGAAAATGCAAACCTTTTTATACTTATCCTTCATAAAAGAGCTTAGGAAGTAAAGAGAGCAACATGTCATGTAAGACAAGAGTTAGATTTATTTTTAAGGGAACTTCATATACTAATAAATAGCAGATATATGTTGTCTGTCCAAAAGAATAAACAGAAAACCATTTTTAAGAAACAAATTCAGGGAACTTCCACCTGTAAAGATAAATTATGTATCTGGCTGAACCTTTAAGGATTAAAATAAATTTTTAGCTCAATATGACTGAAGATCCTATAAATAAGATAGAAAACTAGTACATCGCTCTTGCTAGGAATAAGAATTCAACCTCGTGGACTTTGTTCCCAATACAGAAAACAAAGTGCACATTTGGTTAATTTGATACAAACTACAGATTCAATAAATAAAAATAAAGTGGATATGGCATTTTAACCTCAGTTAGTTTTAGATCATAAAGTGAAACACAGGGGGCATACAGTTTCAATGTCATTATTCTTACCATACTGTTCTTCTTCAGAAGGACAACTCTTCTGAATCATCATATTATTGAGCATTGACAATATATGCTATTAGACATTATCCGATTTTAAATTCAGTGGTATTTAACATTTTCTTAGAATCTTCATGATCAAATGTTTTTAATATTTAAGATACTAGACTGTATATATGTTCTTAGAATCTCCATGAAGGCGTTGAATTGCATGTCTGCAACTTGTACCAAAGTCGAACTTGGGAAATCCAATCATTACACGGACAATCAACGGAACGGAATTATCATTGCATTAAAAGTACGATGACCATTTCAAAAATATAAGACGGACAGATATTTACCAACATTAACATGTAGAAATGAACAAAGAAAAAGAGTTGAGTTCCAAAATAGAATACATGAAAGGATTTCAAGCAGGAATGAAGGAAACCCCACATCTGAAATTAAGTCAATAATGTAGAGTCTCTACTCTACAATACCGAGAAGCTAAAATTAGTACATCCGGATACAGTAAAGAAAAAGACAAAGCTACTAGAAAATAAGCTCTAAGGCAGAACTTACCCAAAACCAGTAGCAGATCAGATTGCAATTAAAATCAGGGTAAACCGGCAGTAAAAAGGAAAATAAGGAATACCCAGAAAAGGACTATGAACCAAGCAGCCGATTCAGATCAAGAAAAACCAGACGATAATCCAATAATTAGAAGAAAAAAAAAGAAATGAATAAAGGTGAAGAATGCATAAGACCAAGATTAAATAAAAAAAAAAGATTACCCTTTTCTCTTATATTGTCGGCAGAAACTTGATAGTAACAGATGAAATGAAGAGGCAAAGAAAAAGGGTATAAGGATTAACAAAAATCAAATGTGAAAGTGAAAAAGGGGTAATGCAGATCAAAGGGAAAGGAAAGGAAAGGGTCCTGATAAGTTTGCAAATGGGGTAGAACAATAAAAGAAGAGACTTTGGGAGTATTTTAAAAGAAAAAAACAAATAATTCCTTTGCGTAGAGGAAACCAACTCAAAAGAGGATTATAATTCCCTTTGCCTACAGTGAATCGAGGGATTAATTAAGCATTAACTATATAAATGATAATTTATATTTGTGTTTTATTTACTCTTAGATTTCAAAAAATATAAGATATTGTTACTTTTATTTTTTATTTAATTAAAATAAAATCATTTTCGTTTTTATTTAACTAAAATGTGGTCACCCGAGTTATTTGTCGTTAATAGGAGTTAAGTATTTTTGATATAATCACATATTTAGTCCCTATTATTACATATTCTCTCAATTTCGTCATACTATTAATAAATTTAAATAAATTTCATCCTCCAATCGAACGATACCACATGTCATGCTAGTAAGGTTGTTCAAAAATAACAGACGCGATTTAGATGACCAATCGACCCGCTGACCCAGTTAAAAAATATCGGGTATTTATAATAAAAATACCCAATTTTTCATGTCGGGTACTCTACTGAGTTTCTGGGTTGAGCATGGGTCATAAAATATTGGTTAACCAGGTACCTTCCGACCTTGTACCCCTTTTCATTTTCATTTTATATTAAATTTGTATTCATAATCCTCAAATTATTTTACTCTAACATTCTACCATTCTAATTTTTTTTAAAATTTGACACCATAATGTTTTAAATTCTTAATTTCTTAAATTATTTCACATTTATTTTCTAAATTATTTTTAAAATATTTATTTTAACTTCAAAACATTTAAAATTTAATTACATTTCTTTATTTTAAATTTTAATAAATTTTATTTCAATTATATAATTTGAATTTTTAAACTTCATGTGTAGATTATATATATTATAGACTTTTAAATTTTAGAATTTTTTTATATAACTTTTTTTTAAATAATGTAATTTAAATAAAAAAAATTATCAATGGGGTGCATGTGATATAAATTATATATAATATAATTTTATATATATTAACTTAAAATGTTTTTATATTAACTTATTAAATATATTTTACTATTAACTTAATTTAAAAATATTTTATTTTTATTTTCATTTAAAAATATATAATTTATTTTAATTTATTAAAATTATAACTAAATTGAGAGAATATGTAATTAACAAAGACCAAATGTGTGAATATATCAAAATATTTAACTGTTGTTAACGGCAATTAACTCAGGGTGATCAAATCTTGTTTAAATAAAAATATAAGTAACAATATCTTATATATTTTGAATTCAATAACTAAAAGTAGACAAAATTCAAAAATAAATAATCAACCATATAGTTAACTCATTAATTAATGATGAATTTGGATAGAGAACATTGGTTTCAGTGTGGTTGAAAAATTTGAGGATTAGTGGCAAACCGAAAAAAAATATTATTTTGAGTAATTTACTCACTAAACTTTTAAATTATTATTGATTTGATCATTTTAAATTATTTTATTATTATTATTTTATGATGAGGTGTTTTTTATTATTATTTACTATAAAATAGTTTAAAATATAAAATAAAAACACAAGTTGGTCGGACACCACCACCAACCGTCATAGATATTGATCGTTCGACTTTAAATTTTATGGGTCGCTTCTCCTCGACATTGTGAGTTCGAATATGACCACCATTTTGTGGAACTTGCTCCGAAGTCTACAAATTAGAGATTGAAAGTGAGGAAGTCGAAATGTTTCAGTCGAGATTAACAGGTTTTGGGATATTTTCCGATGAAACAACAAATATATTCAGATTCAAGGGTCAAGATGAACCGAATCATAAAAATTTAAGAACGAATAATCATCATCTACGGTGGTCGTCGGTGATATCCGACCACCTTCTATTTTTATTTATATTTTCAAATATTTTACATTAAATAATAATAATAATAAATGTGATGTCATATCAAAATAATAATAAAATAATTTAAAAAATAAAATAATTCAGAATAATCAAAATATGAATAATTCAAAAATTCAGTGAATAAATTAATAAAATAAATGAAATTACTATGAATAAAATAGGAGAGGAAACCTGGTGAAAACTAACTGGAAAACTTAAAAAAAAACATGTCTGGGAATTTGTTATTTTCCAAGGGATAATACGGTAAGGAGAAAGATCGGTGTCTTGTTGCTTCTTCTGCTCGTGAAACCATGGTAAAACTGATATCAGTATGGAATCTGCGCCATGATTCTAGCCTTCTCCCTTTTTCCCTGATTTAGGGTTCTTGAATTCAATTTTAAAAAAAGGGTGGAGAAGGAATGGGAAGAGAGTGACGGGAGGAGAGGAGAGGAGAGGAGAGGGGAGGAGAGGAGAGGAGAAAGATGGAAAATTACTTAGGATTAAAGATAAAAAAGTTTTTATTTTTTTTTAATTTTTTAATTTCAATTAAATAATTTGTCATTATTTTAATTAGAAAAATCGTTTTTAATATTATATTTATGTCAGATGGCATTTAACGGTCGAAATTAACGACCTGTCACGGCCTAATTTAAATTGAGTTACGGAATGAAATGTTAGGTATTAAATTAAAACGAAAAAAACGTTAAACACCAAACTAAAAAAAACATACATACGTTAGGTACCTTTTTGATATTTAAGCCAAAAAAAATGCACCAAAGTAAAACCTCTAACATTGGAAGGAAAAAGAGTCGGTGGCGGAAGGCAAGAGGGGTTAGTGAGGTCATGGCCCCCCCAAATTTTAAAAATTATAATATAGACTCTTAAATTTTTTAAAAAAAATTAATTTGGCTCAATTTAAATTTTTAGAAATTTAAATTAAATTTTAATTTTTTTAATGTTCTTGATTAAATCCCTTCCCATAATTTTTAAAAATTCTCATTAAGCCTCTCAAAATTTCAAAATTTTTAATTAGACTCTAATTATTTTTGAAAAAAAATGTAAACTAAACCCTTCAAAAATAATTTAAACTTCTAAATTTTTTAAAGTTTTAAATTACCCATCCTCCAAGCTCTAACGTCAAGTTACGCCACTGAAAGGAGTGTCCAAGAATTTTATTAAGATAAACCAAATACATAGGAAAACCTCCCCCAATGCATCCAGATTCATCCGAGTTTAGAATCAAATAAAAAAAGCCACATTAGCAATCTAAACAAGGGGACCAATGAACCGCCGTGTAGGAACAGAAGAGGGCAGCATAACATCAAATTCAGCGGTCCTATGGAATGCTTCAAAACGGCAAAGAATCAGAATTGCGAATGAAACGAAATCCTCGGTCCTTCCAATACCCTCTTTATCCAAGGAGTCCTCCTTGATGTTCTGCACTCCATAGATATGTACCAAAAAGATGCTAAGAAGTAAACAACAGGAGATTGTATTGCCAAAAGTTCAGCCAGCAAACCCGTTAAAAACAAACCATGATTATATATGATCGTAGATCTATTTAGGTCAGGTTAAAAACTTTTTTTTCATCAAGATGGTGTCGAGATCACATTGGCACCATGTAAAGAGGAGAAGGAACCTCCTATATTATTAGAGGTACAACAAATATATCGACATGTTCTAATATAAACCCAGTTTGTTTCAATAAAACTAAAAGAAAATACTCGAATATAAAAACAAAAAAGTGATGGATCAACTGGGAAATGCGGTGGAGATGGTTAAGTCCAAATTAATGTAATTGTCGGAAAAGTTTGAAGTCCTTAAGAAAGTAGGGCGCCTAAGAAAGTAGCCTTTCTCATCATCTCCCCAGGTGCATAGCGATAGCTCACAAACTTCTCCATCCTCTTCGTCTTCTAATTTTTTACCAACCAAGCGTTCATATGTATCCTGCACCAAAAACAAGATCATATGAAGATTGTATCATCGTGATTGTCAAACCCTAATGTGCAGATAAGCGAGAACAACATACATATATGGATAGTACCTGCTGATGCTCAAAGAGCTTAGCTGCTTCTTCCTTTTGTGAATGGCTATGCTTACTTTTCCAATCTTGTTGTTCAGATCCTTCTACTCTGCAAACCAATTATTCTGGATGAGAGATCTCTTTTGTAAACGAAGACCACATACAAAACACTGCTGGGAAACCTCCTACTGTAAATTAAACGTAGCTTTCATTGAATCAAAGAGATAAGGACATTAGGAATGGCTTTCGGTTGCACTCTCATTTTCCGAACCATCATATTCATTTCAGTGGATCAAAATTTGTGGTGGCAAAAATGGGAAGACTTTTCAGGCTTGTTTTCAACCAACATTAAATGCCACAACTAATATCTTCTCCATCGACGGTAAGGATTTCTTCTGATTTTGAGCCGACGTTGAGTCAGCTGATAGTAGAATTACTGTGCAACAACGCTTTAAACTGTGGGTTTACCTCGTAGATGGTGAGAGATCTGACAAGATTCCAGCGTTGAAATTGTCTTCAAGGCGCGACCTTCTTAACCGCAAGGTGCTACCTTTGCAGCGTCGGTACATCTACGGGGTTAATCAAAATCATATTGAAAACTTCAACATTAAACTGCTTTTACCTAATTTATACCATAATATAACAACCTTTAGTTTGATGTGTATAAGAGAGAAATATAATAATTTATGTAACATAGATATATTAGAATTAATTTGGAACAGGAAAAAGTTGATTTTTTTAATAAAAATTCACTGAGAATATACAGTATTAAAATAACTCGGAATGTTACTAAATTAAAACCTCTACTATATTGTACTAAAATGAATTATGTTCCAAAAGTACTATTTATTGATATTATGTGTAATTTTTTTATTACATCTTAAGAGTGTATGTTGGGACAAATACAAGATTTTAAGATAATATATAAATTTATGAATTTGTATTACAAAATTTTAGAGGTGCGGACTTATATCATCAATAGAAAATATAATCAATAAACTTAAATTATATTTTTAAACCAAATTTGTCTAACTTTATTTTTAATGATGAGTCATTATTTGATTCATTAGTAATGTATAGAACTATATAGGGTGTTTAACGAGTTGAGCAACTTGAACTCGACTCGGTCAAAATTCGATAGATGTTCAATTCGACTTGGCTCGACTCGAACTCGACTTAAGACCTTAACAAGCTGAGTCGAGCAAAGTCTAACTCGACTCGATAAATTAACGAGCGGCTCGCTAATTTTTTAAAATATATTTTTAGTAATAACTTAAAAAATAAATATAAATAATAATTATTTTAATAAATAATAATAAATTAACTAATATATTATTTTTTAATAAATATTAAAATATTATTAATTAATAATATTATTTTCATACAAAAAAACCCAACCATAATATCCTCATATAGTATTAGTAATTTTTTAGTTAAAAAAATAAGGTAATTTTTTTAGTGAGCTTAACGAGCAACGAGTCGAGTCGATCAGCAAAATTTTTTAACGAGCATGAGTCGAACACTACCCAACTCGCGATCGACTCGCTCGATAAGCACCCCTAGAACTATACATCGTTGGTGTATAAAATATTTCATATAACCCTAAAATTTTTAATTATCATATATTTTATAAAATTTATTTATATTTTCTATTGATAACTTGTTTTCACCTCCATAATTTTATAGGTTCATCCTTTTTTTAAAATTGTAAAATTCTATCTCGTTACATAAAATCTTATGTTCGTCCCAACATATAATTATTATATTTTTAACTTATGATGTATTGAAGTTTAAAGAAAACTATTATTTTTTTAATTAAGCTAAGGTGATTACAAAGTAGTACTATATCTTCTAAATACTCTTAATTATTTTATAACGAACGCTCAATCACCCTGGTACGACTGTTGGTGCTCGAATCTGTTACCTCTAAAAAAAATTTCTTCTTCTTTCAAACTTATTGTAAATTAATAAAACTATTAATATGTATATTAATCAAATTAACATATGTAAAGTCGAAGTAATCCTGAAAAAAGGGAAAAGAATAAGATCTCAACACCTGAAGATGGCTTTTGATATGGGAAATGCTGAGTCCGTTCACAGTACTCATCATCTGCAGTATTCGCTTTGGTGTTGCTTCTGCAAATTAAAACCAACCTTCAGTTATAAAGACATAATAGAGTAACGTTCATGAATGAAACTGCAAATTTATTTAGGGCATCAAACAAAACAGTGCAGAACCACACCAGTTTCTTCACTAATTTTGCTTTGGTATTTCAAGCATGTAAAACGATCCCAAACAACAAGAGTAATAACATATAGGAACCTACTGTATCTTCCACCAAGGTGATCAACAGCTTGAACAAAGTGGCGGTGAAGCTGAGGAGTCCATCTCAAACGTGGAGCCTCTGATTTGTTGTACCGTCGAGCTCCGGCACCGGCACCGGCACCATCTTTCCTTGTCATCGATCCTTTCTTCCCTACAAGAATGTAAAGCAAGAGTTTCCTTTTAGGTGTATATGAATGCATCAATGAATCATAATGGTCAAGAAACGAAATATATGTTTTTTTTTTGTTGACTTTTTTTGCCTGGAAAGGACCTGTTCAAAACCTCAATCATATAGTCCTCCGGTTCCCATTTGTTTATTTAATTAGTTTCCCTCATGAAATAATATTGTATTATAAGTAAAAACAAAATATAACTTTTTCTTCTAAACTCATTTATTTAATTTTATATAAATAATAATAATAATAATATTAAATGAGAATGAGAATGAAAATATTGCTTTTAATCGTGATTCTAGTTGGCTAGTATTTTCAATACCCTATAAAAGAAACTATTCTCGAAAGCAATGATAAACACAAATCATTTTCGACGTAATTTGATGAGTCAAACATTCACAATATTTTTCTTGAATTGTACTACTATTCAACTTTCTCGGTAATTTAAGATTTTTATCTATTACTTAATAAATTTACAAATCAATAAAATAATGCTTAATTAAAATATTCAAAATGTTTAAGTACAACATATATTGGCACGTCAATATGTTTTTGTCAATATGTTTTTAGAACACATTTTATTTTAAGACATCATAAAGTCTAAAACACTGACATATTATCTTGCGACATTTCTCCAATTGGCTAATTTAATAAGAATATTTACTTTCTAAAAATAAATAAATGACTTCCCCAAAAGATATATAATATTACTGTTCTTCCACTATATAACAGTTATGGTACGGGAAAAATATATATTTGACGTGTTTTGTTTTTCATAAATCAAAATGAACTCATACACTGTTCATATTTTTATTTTATGATTCGGGTTGCTTACGAGTGTTGGTATATATTCTAAAGAATCTCAACTATTCGATAATGAAAGTTCAAATATCTTCGGTTCGAACCTAAAATCTTTAAAATTAACAATCATTCTTTTAATTGTTAATATATCTTATCTTCTGTATTTAAAATTTTATTAAATAGACATATCCATAATTCGTAGTTCGTGTTTATAGTCGTATGTTAATCACATGGATTAATAAAGCGCTGATACGTTATTAGCAGAATGATTAGAGACTCCTAATGCATCCACGTCATCCGTTTTCAGTTTTTTATTTGGGGAAATTACGTGTCCAAAACAAAACCGAGAGTAGTCAAGATGCTGGGAACAGAAAGGACGTGCGTTTTCCAAGCGAAGGAAACAGTGAATGTCGAGGTCAAATAAAGACGGTGCCTAATATTGGACCCACAGCAACAAAATATCATGCTGCTTCTGCCGTGTTCGGCACCACCTTTCTTCAAAGATTCAATGAACAAGAAAGAGCATGTAGTTGTAACTTGTAAGTTTGTTATCTTATATCGACATTGATCCAACAATCAGTATCTGAATTTGAGAGGATGTGATGACTGCAATTAATATCTGATGTCCGAGAAAATAAGACGGTAAAAACGGAATCGGATGAACAAAGTTATCGAGGTTTGTTTACACAATTTCATTAAGATAAATTCGATCGTTCTTACGATATCGGAGAGACGATGGTTGATTGTCTCCCATTATACAACAATAATATGTGCAAGGCAGTAGCACGATTGCAGTGTTCATCGTACTGTAACCAAGTCTTTTTCTATAACGAAAAAACATTTTGGAAGTAGAAAAAATATTATTTAAACGTGTGTTTAAATAGAATATTTATATTATAATTATTGATCGTCCTTTATTTGTCTATTCGAATGAAGGACAATGGGCCCTGAAACAGAAAGTATTCGAATTGGAACAATGGGCCGTCCAACCTCAATTCAGCTCCAAATCCAATGAACTTTTCACTTCATATTAAACCTGGACAAATCAATAATTATTTTTATAATAATTTGTATTTAGTTTATTAATCAATTAATCTAAATCAAATATTAGTTAATTTATATTAAATGTTATAAAGATTTAATATAAAAATGATCTAACTTATTTTTATTTATAATATCAAATTTTAAATTCTTTTTGATAAACTTGAGATAAATACAAAATAATATCTGTTTAACTATTAGACATGAAAGTTCATATTTTTTATATGATATGAGCGTGCTCAAACTCATAAATTCAAAAAGTAAGCAAACTAGTGTTGGCACAAGTGGTCGTCGAATTCAGGAATTTGAGTCTGTAAGACCAAGTTCCAATCCTACCACCATCATTTTTTGTGGGTAATGTAAATTCCTATATAAATTTTAATTAGGTCTTAGGTATGTCCTGACACTAGATTGGGAGAGCCACCCCTAACCTAAACTTTTTGTAACAAAAAAAGAAAAGAAATTTAAAAAATAACAACAAATTCTTAACCGCGGATGCCAATTTAGTTCATACTCAAAATTTAAATATTATTTTAAAAAATCTAATATCTTAATGAACCATAATAATATCAAAGATAAAGATTAGATTAGAATGTCCAATCTAGTCCAGTCAATCAAATTTTATCTTGTATAATTCTTATCTTGTATAAAACTTCAACATTTTTCATAGGGAATTCTACGGTTGCGCATAACCTAAAATATTAATATTTTCTTACTTTTTCAGGGTGCAAACATTCTTCGTAATAAACCGAAAATGTTATATTTTCATAATATTTTTGTTGAACTGAAAATGTTAAAAAATCAATATTTTAACTCGCGCCTTTCATTAACCTGATATTAAACTATTGTATCGTAGAATCATCTTTTTTATACTTTGATTTCTTTATAATCCTCCTATACATACTCATCACTTATAAATATAACATTTATCAAATATGCATTCACAAATAATCTATAGAATTACCGATGAACGTTAAAAGCAATATAAAATTTTGATGAGTTTCATGTGGATACAGCACTTGCCATCATTTTCCCTTCCACTACAAGAAGTTTCATGTTGACTTTAAAGACTTTAACGTTTGGGTAAAATCCGGAAATAGTCACCAAACGTTTAGAATATTTTCAGTTTGGTTATCAATTTTAGAAGTTTGTAATACAATTTTGAACTTTTGATTAATTTTCAGTACAGCCATTGCTTTCTCGGTCGTTAACAAAGGTTGACTTGGCATGTTATCTTCGTCCTCCCATATCTTTTTCTATCAAGAAATATGTTGAGAAATTTTTATCAAGAATTTCGTGCTTATGGACAAATACGCTACATTATTTTTTAAACTGCAATGTGGACGGGAGGTAGAGACTTACAAAAAAGTGTCTGTTTTATTATTATTATTTAAATAAAGTAGTTAATTAATTAAAAATATTTAATTAAATCAATAAATTAAATCTTATTGAAGTAAACATGCACCGGTGTACTGCATTGATGTGCATATTAATATATAATGTAAATACAAAACAAGTGTGGTTATAGTTTTAAATTCAATGATAAATTTGTTAAGATATTTTTTAATTTGTGAAATTATAAAATCATGCAAGATATAATTAATTTACTCTATTTTAAATTGATTATTTTTTCCATAAAAATATATTAGATATTTATAAGCGAAAAAAAAAGAAACAATGCGAGATATATCAACATAGAATAAGATCACACACAAAAGGTGATATTTAATATAGTTCGATCTTGTCTACTTATATAGACGAGGTTAATACCTAATCGAGGTAAACATACATATCACAAAGAAAACAAATACATATAATTCTTCATATTCTTAACTCAATATATATCTCTCAAAACCTGATAAATATATCTCAAAAACTAAAAAAAAATCTTACCTAAATAAAATCAATTACTACATAATCTTTAACCACTAGAATTATAATAAAATTTAATTTAATTATCAATTAGAATTTGAGTGGATACGTAATAAAATCTAAACTAATCCTACTAGCCAAATAATAAGAATCTTCTATTAATTAATTGTGGAAGATTAAAATATCCTAACCAGATATGGTAAGTATTCTAGCCACATTGGCTTTGATAAAAGTAGGCAGTGCATGTGCAATGAAGGCAACTCTTGCTGCTAATGAACTGTCAATTTCATTGCCATTTTCTCTCTCTTTGGCAACTTGCTCATTTGATAGAGCACAATGTTTTTAACCTTGAGGTCTTGGGATCGAGTCCACGGAGGACATTTCATAATTCGGATGTCTTCTACGGAAGCTGCTCTCAACCTCGTGTTGGGGTCAGCCTACTATCTTACCTCCCCTTACCTCATTATATGGGAACAAGGGACAACCATTTTTTTTGGCAACTTGCACATTCTCATTAAGAATTTGCTAATTGTCGTTAATGATCACTAAATCTTGTAGTAGGTTCATTATAGTCCCCAACAATATGTTTAATCTATTCCAGGCGATTTCATAAACTTCTCATAGCTTCATAGTTACAACCGTAAATAATAGTAGTAAAAAAAATGAGGAACTTCACTCTTTAGTAGCAATCCAATCAACTTGCAGGGAAATTTTACATACAAATTAAACATGTGAATCAAAATTGACAACTTATACGATACTACTAATATTACCAAAAGACCAACACATCCAATTGGTTTTATGGAATGAGACTATATCTCTTAAGTAAAGCCAGGATTCGAATTCTGGTGATTATGAATGTATCAAACTGAGTTGAGAGAGCCATCCATATAATGAACTTCTGTAAAATTCTATTCGAATTAATCAGTCAATTAGTTGGATACCTATGATTAAATAAAAATATTACTGAGGGGATTGTTTACAATGTTGCAACACTCTATTTGATATTCCTTGCCACAACACTTTTGTAGCCACCAATTTTTGTCCGAATTTTAATTGTCTTATGTTTAGTTATTATTATTATATTAATATTTAATTATATTATTATTTTTTTCCTTCTTATTATTTTGTAGGTCATTACAAAGACCCAACCTGGGTCCGAACCAAAACTCATTTTCCCAAATAACCCAACCTGAGCCCAAAACCAAACCAAACCCTAATTCTAACCCTAGCCCAAAACCTAACATGACCTAGCAATCTGCCACCGCCA